GGGAGCCGTTCAGAGGGCGATGCCGGCCCGGGTGGCCCTCGTGGGCCGCGGCCTGCGGGACTGGCTCGGCCAGGTATATGGTCTGGGGGAGACAGCTTCCCTGGGGACGGCCCGGACTTTCCCGGAAAGAGGCAGGACTCGCGGGGAGATAGAGACCCCGCTGTAAAGTGAGTCCGCGGCGGTTGTGGACTGGGGCGGGGTCGCAGGGGTCAGACCAGAGCTCCTGCACTGCACGGGGTCTTGCGCCGGGCCCCTCCGCACCTCGACGGCGCGCACAGTTGCGCCCACGCCTCCCTGCGCCTTCGGAGGGCATACCACCAAAGGGGGCCCGGAGGAGAGGTGACTCGGAACGGAGGAGACAGCACTTCCAAGCCTCAGGGAGGGTGGGGTCCGCGGGGTCAGCACCATGGACATCCCCTGGACCTGGGGCTGGAGAAAAGCGGAGGGGTCGCCGGGACGAAGGTCCGGCGCTTGTGACTCCCGTTCCCAGGACGCCTAGCAGCTTCGGCTGGGTCCTCGGGGGCGGCTCAGTCTTGCATCTTGGGCCTGGCAGGGCAGGGTCTGGGAGGGGACGTCTGAGCTCGCGGAGCATCGAGTCCGGCTCAGTCTTACCCAGCGGGGTGCGTCTTGCTTCTCACTCACTTAGCGTGTAGCCTCGCCCGGAGCTCCGAGGAAGGCCCCTCTCCTGCATCCCCTCATCGCCAGCATCCCCCAACTTGGGCAGGCCCTGCAGACTACCCGCCCACGGAGCTCCTCACCAAACCCTGAGATCCCAGCCCTTCCGCAGCGCACCGTGAGGCCCAAACAACAAACGGAACCCTCCCAATTCAACCCAAAAGTTACCATGGGGGTTGAACTGAAGTCTCCCCCACCCCAAGCACAAACATGCACATCGTGTCCTTTCAAGACTCTCAGAAAGGCATGTTTTTAACATTTAAAAATTTGTCGAAGTAACGCATAAACACATCCTCCTTATTTACCAGAAAAGACTGTTCATTACCCTCTTCCATTCCATACCTCTTCCAAGACATTCGGCCCCCTCCCGCGCCGGCTCTGCGCTGTTTCCCTGAGTTCACCCCACTGCAGGCCTTGGCCTTGGAGGGCCCCTGGGGGCCACCCCCCGCCCCCACGGTGGCGGCGACCCCACTTGCCGAGGCTGTGTCGGGCTGGCACGGCCTGACTCGCGCCTGGCGCGCGTAGACGCGAAGTAAAGGCGGAAAGTGAAAACGGGTGGCGGCCACCCTCACCGGCGCACTCACTCTGGACTCCCTTCCAGGTGTCCAGGTCGGCATTTCCCTCGTCCTCAGACGGTCTTTTCCCAGGGCGCTTCCTTCGGTCGAGGCATCGGCCACACTTGCAGGCGGAGGTAGATCGCGCAGGGCTTCCGGGACCCTGCACCGGTGTCTCC